ATATATAATAACAAAAAAGGTCTAATGATGTCCCTCCAGCCAGTTTTGATGAATAGATTAAAATGTAATTGAAGATGTCATTAATTGACAACCTATATTGAAGAGGAGCCCTTTATCTCTTCTTATAAGTGATAGACAACACAGCTCTTAATGACTGACTATTGTTCCTTCAGAGGCTTTAAACAGCAGGACCACCTTCAAAGGCAGTAGACAATTTCTGGTACAAAAGGACAGAATTTGCACAGGTTTGGACTGGAGAAGCTGGGAAGGGCAACCTACTTCTTTAGGTTTGATTCTTTTTTTTTGTCCCCATGCACAATTCCAAGGTAATAATGACTGAGCTGCGAACCATGAAGTTGGAATTATTTCAGTGTAGCACAAAAATGCTACAAATTTACATGTTTTGTGAGTTCATGACTGGGAAAAGCAAGCAGTGGTATAGATCAAGATAAAGAGGTATGTAAATGCACTTGAGAAACCTCTGCCTTTCCTTTATACAGGCAGACCTTTAATATCATAGGCAGCTCAGTTTATGACATGCTTGGCCAGAAATGTATAAATTCTTCTAACCAAAATATTGGGAAACTGCTGCTCTTACCTGTACAAACTGCTCCAGGGCTTGTCTGTCCAAGCATGTGTAGTTCTGCAGGAACTTGAGCTTCTCCAGCTGGAATTGGTCCCGAAAGTGGGTCTCTGCCTGCTTCTCCAGCAGCTGGAACACCATAGCGCCCAGGAGGAGGTAAAAGAGATACCCCAGTGCCAACAGAGGAGTCCAGCTGATCTGCCGGTTGTGTATGGCGAGGAGGGGCATGCTGCTGCTCTGCTGCTACTCTGCTGCTGCCAGTCCCTGCTCAGTACTTAATAGGTGACTGTCCCAAGATGTGTGCTACCCAGAACACCTGGGAATCACACACCCATATTCCCAGCTACTTCCCTGGAGAATTTTGTAACAGAACATGTGGGTATCAGGGCTATACAAACTGAGACTAATAGGGAAATTTTATCCCTCCACATCTTTTCTCTATCCAAAATAAAGGGTGAACATTTATGGTTTAGTAAGAACGTGAATCATAGTGTTTTTTCTCATATTAAAACAACTTTTGTCTAAAGATCTCAATCAAATGAATGAAACACACTGAGGCTAGTATTGGTTTCCAGGCTGGGAAGCTGAATCTAAACTGTGGTTATATGACTTACCCCAGGTCATATGAATACAGAGTCACAGATAGATTCTTAAAGTCTTGACAAGTAAGACCTTACACTAAGCACTAAACTTCTATAAAAGAAAACATTGTAGACTCTCTAATTACAGCAAACTTCCCAGAACAAAGAAGAATATGGAGCTGAATAAATGGAAAAGTCAATAGCTGCTGCCTGTACCATACAAACATTGCTGGCACCAGTAGAAGCAGCATGATGAAGTTTATAAACATCCTGAATTCAGCCTCGTCACACGACAGAACCTCTCTTTCTTTTCTAACCCTAATAAGCTCAATCTTCTCACCGTCTGGCCTGCCACTTCTGAACTCTTTGTCAGATGACTTGAACCTTTAGTCCACAGAGTATAGAGAATGTACCACTCATGCCTACTGCTTTCTGTCTCTGTACTGCCCTTTTATTCCAAATGCATAAGGGAGAAGGAGGGCTTAAGGTTAATCATTAGGGAGAAAAGTGTCAGAGGTTCACTCATGGGAGTCTTAATTATTATCATGCACTGGAAATGAGCTGGGCTTGCATATTTTTCTGTAGGAAGAGCTTTATGGCAAGTGTCATCTGTGTCACAGTGTTTCTGAAAGAAAACACACACACACAGAGCAAGAAGGCCAGGTGGCTAGGGCTGAAATTTTGTTATTAAACTCTCTTCCTGTTAAAACATTCTAGATACAGATATCTCCCCCTTACTTACTGTGAGAAACGAGCACTTATGTTTTAAAGGAAGACCAAATCAATTAAGCAAAAAGATCCTTACTTTATTGCTTTTTAATGTAGACAGTGATGTTTCTGACCAACTCTTCTTTTACCATATCTTGTATTTCCCTTCCATCACTTATGCCCCATTGCCCTGCTGGGGAGAAACAAATCCAATTTTCTCCTCTTGGACAAGCTCCCTGGCCCCTCCAGTCAGTACAACTCGCTAGATTTTGTGCCATATAATAGTTTTGTCCTGCTTCAGCACATACTTGAGGCCTAATATAATGATCTGCATGTATGTAGGTATGGTGAGTGAACCCAGAATATGTTCTCCCTCCAGCCTGGAGGGAGGTATAGCATTTGTCACAATGTGGGTGGGCATTTGTCTTAAGTGTATGAACAAATAGGATGCAGTTTATTAGCACCTGTATTCCCCTTCTCAACACCTACTGGGTTGTTACCAGAGATGGAGTTTGTTATCTGGTAAGGACAGAGGTTAATCCAGTCTTGCCCTCAGCTCCTAAATTACGTGGTGTGTATTATATAATCAAACTCTGCTTTTAGGGTTGCTATGGTTTACTACCTCCAATCCCCATATATCTCTGGAGGATTTTAGTTATACATTAAATATTTTATACTCTATGCTTTCAGAGGGTGAGCTTCAATGGATCATCTTTTGTGGTCATGGTCCACTTATCCTGAGGGGGGGAATACTGGTTCTTTGACTCTGGTGGCATGAGTCCAGCCCTTTTGGGCAGTCCTGACAGCAGTCTCTGTGGTTAATAATACTTGGAATGGGCCTTCCCACGTGGAGGTCAGTGCAGTTTCCTTCCAAGGCTTTATCAGCACCCAGTCTCCAGGTTCTCATGAATGTATATAAAAGTCTAAGGGTGCAGTTGAGGTAATAATCCTCTATGTCTTAAGTCTTCAAGAGAAAGAGTTATGGTGTGCAGATAATTTCTAAGATGAATATAGTTTAATTCAGGAGTTGGCAGTCCCTCTCCATTTCCCAAACAGGGTAAGCTGAATAACATTTCATAAGGGGAGATTCTCAAATCTCTCCTAAGTGCTGTTCTAACTTTTAATAATGCTCAGGATAAACATTTGGTCCATGGCAATTTAGTTTCAATAATTAACTTAGGTATATTATTTTTCAAGGTAGCATTCATTCTTTCTACCCACCCAGGGCTTTGGAGATGCCAGCGGGTATGAAAGTCCCATTTCAGACCCGAGGCTTGACATACATCTCTTAAAATTTAGGAGGTGAAGTGAGATCCTCTGTCAGAATCTATTTGTTCTATTATGCCATACAGGGGAATTATTTGTTCTAACAAGATCATTTACACCTATACCTACAACATCCTTTACACCTACAACATTTGTGACTTGCATTCCTTTTTGCCATCCCATACTTGATCTTTCTGCTTCTGAATCCACCAAAACCACAAATTCCTCCCCTAGGGGACCTAACTGCAAACTTTTCAAGGGCTCCTCACGATATTTTGACCCCAGGAAGTAGAGCCTCTGACACCTCTAATCTTGAAAATAGTTTTCTAATTCCATAGATCAGAAAACTTTGGTCTCCTGCTGTCTTTTTGGGAATTCCCTCTGAAAGTGCTCCTCTTCCCCACAATAGTAACACTTTTTAGGGCTCACTTGCCAGGAAGTCACCTCTCACCCTCTTCCCAAAGGGATAACAGCATTACCTCTTCCCCTTCCTCATTCCATCCCCCTTCCCCTACGTCCCATTCCCCTTCTCCTTACTTCCCTTTTCTCCGGTTGGTGTCTAACCACCTGTTCCACAGTGGTCACCAGGTTTTAGCTTTAGGTTGTTCATGTCTTCTTACATAAACTTTTTGAGCTTCCCTTAATAAATCATTTAATCCTTTGTCATGCCAATTCTCATCCTTTTCTAATTTCTTTTTTAATATCCAGCCAGGTCTTGGTGACAAAATTCACCTTTAACAATTCCCGTCCAGTTTCATTCTCTGGGTCTATCCCTGAATATTGTTGCATATTTCACCTCAGCTGCTGTAACCAGGCTGTGGGGACTCATCTTTTCGTTGCTTGTTCTCAAAAGTGTTTTAAAACTCTGTTCTTTTGAGGACAACTTCCTTTATTCCTTTAATAAACAATCAGACATATTATTTCTCCCTTCAACAGTGTTTTGACCCCAGTTCAGTCTCATAATGGGGAAGTTTTGTTCTTCTGGAACTCCACCTTGAACATCAGGAGAGTTCTCTCTCTCCCAGATTCTTATTCCTGCCATACATAACATTTGTCTTTCCTCTGGATAGCCTGCATTTCATCCCAGGTATAGATTTTGGGACCTAAAAACTCATCAATTTGTTCTGATAAACCCAAAGGATTTTCCTATGTTCTCTTCACTTCCTTTTTGAATTCTCTGACTTCTGAACAGGTACATTCACATATCCTACCCCTTCCTGAGCCCCTTGCGTTGGTACTTCTCATAAAGGAAACATTGCTTCCTCCACTTTGAATTGGGACTCTTTTTTTGGAACAGAAAAGGGGTATTGCTGAATATCTTTCTTTAACTGGTCTAACTCAATAATCCTTACCCTATGAGCCTCTTGACTCAGAGGCCAATAGGGATCAGTAGGGTCTCCCTTCCCACCTTCCATGTATCATTAAACTGCCTATTAGCTTCATTCAAAAGTGGAGCATTTGGTTGAGGCTCGGGAAGATAAGGGAGAGGTGGGTTGTTTGAAGGACCCCATTTTTCTTTCTTTCCCTTCTCAATTTTTCTGGAGCCTGTGCTCATAAGAAGGGACAGAGTTCCTTTCCAGCAAGAAGCATTATCACTCTCTTCTTGACTAAAAGGCTCCTTGCCATTTACCAAAAGATTTAAAGCTTGATAGATCAAGTCCTCTGATGACCCATACTTTGGCCAATACAGGGGATCAGTCTGAATGGGCTTCTTAGTCCGTTCGAACATACAATACTGTATCATCTTAGTTTTCTCCTTTCTCTGGGTACAAGACATTCCCTCTTGTCCCCATTCACTAAGCATTCTCCCCAAAGGACTGTCAGGATACTCAGGAGAGAATGACTAGATTATTTCCCCTTCTTTACATCTGTTTTCCCAGACTTGTTTCCCATATTCTCTCAACCGTTTCACTTCGTCCCTTCACCGGAGGATCTCCTTGTGGAGGGACAGAATCACAGTTAGAGGGACTCCACAATCACTTCACAGATAATTCTCACTCACAATCCCACATTCCCAGCCACCTGGATAGAACTTAACAGTCAGTTTTCTTACCTGGATCCTGTGCACAGAAATTACTGGCTGATGAGCGTATCTCTGTCCCTGATTCTCTCCTCTTTTTTTTTTTTTTCTTCAAATGGTACTACTTGTCTGCTGGGCCAGCAAAAATGGGACAAGAGAACTAGGGCTGCTGAAATCAGCAGGACATGCTTCCCTGTTTCCTCGTCCTTGTCCACAAGGACAGAGACAAGTATCCTGGACAAGCACCCAAATTTTGAGAAACAAGTGCTCACAAATATATTTTAAAGCAAGACCAAACCAGTGAAGCAAAAAGAGCCTTACTTATTTGTAACTTGAGTCAGATGAGTTGAGTGCCCCACAAGAAGGAGCATATGTTGCCTCCACAAATCGAACCTTTTACAACCTATCCTGATGTATGACCCCTTGTGTCATTTCCCCATTGGATGGGTATTTGAACCTCACATTCTTCTCACCTGCCTAGTCTGTGCCACTTTCCTCTTTGCGCCACTTTTCCCCTCAGGGCTCTGTCATCTGCCATTTTGTAAGAAACCTCTTGTGCTGACAACACAGTCCCTGGCCCATATTAGAGAACTTCTGTTAACCTTGTCACCTATGAACATAATGGAAACAACACCCGAACTTTTCTGAGTTACCATTCCAACATCTGGGAAACAAATCCAAGTACAATAGCTGTTATTGGACTGTACAGTTCTCCATACTCCCGAGTCAGGCCTTTGAAAGAAACTGGCTGAAGCAAAACTCTGTATCTCACATATTCAGATTGTTTTCACTCTGCCTTAAAACGAGAGGTAGTGCTCACAGAAAAAGACTGAAAATATTATTTCATCAGTATCTGGGACAATCTCTGTACTTGTCATTTGTATTGTGCTCATAGCCTAGGGCCAGGCATAATCCAGAAGAGGATGACTGACTGGCAGCAGAAGGTCACTTAGAACTCTGAAAAGGGAAAACTATTGTGGAAAACTTCCAGGAGACCATCTTGGACTTTGTCTGGGACCACTCTATCAGTGTGACTGGGGGACAGTAAGCTTTCAGTAGAGAAGTGCAGCATGCAAGGACTCAGAGCCTTGATGCTCTGGTGTTTCTTTTTAGCTGAAAAAGTGAAACATTAGGGAGATAGAAATTATAGTGGCGTAGATATTACAGAGCACTGCAACAACATTATGAAGCAAACAGGTATGTCCAGCTTATCACTGATGGATGGCCTTCTCTTAGTCTGTGCTAACAGTGACAATTATTTACAGAATATCTAACAAGAACATCTCTTTTGCATCTGATTTCCACAGCTAAAAGGTATAGCTCGTTGTTACATACCTTGTAAAATGTTATGGGTAGACAAGCCTGGGATGTTGCACAACTGCCTGTTACACTGGCAGGGCTGTCTCTGGTGAGAGATCCAGGTGTTTGTCATGTTGTAGTTTGAAGGACCTATGTCTACCATGCCAAGAGAATGCTAGCCTACTGGTTTTCCAGAATGGTTGCAACCCCATGTGCATATCTGGGCTGAGACAAATTTCTTCAGTTGAAATATGTTTCCCAGTTAAGGGTAAGAAATTAGTAAGATACAAATGAACAAATACAGCACTGCACCTGTTTCGTGTCCTAGTCTGTTCTGTTCAGTTCAGTCCAACAAAGCATTCCAGCTGCCAAACTTGGCAGTCTAAATTATGCCTTAAGAAAAAATGTCCACTCAGGCTTACTTTTGGGATCTTAAGTTATGTCTCGCCAGAGGAAAAAATCATATATATACATTTGGAAGTAAATGGAAGACTTATGATTTTTGCTTGAGTTCTGAATACTGAAGAGGGAGTTCAGCATGACTTACCACATTGGAAATTAGATTTAGCTTTCAGGTAAAAAAGGTGTACTATACAATGTACCGAAATAACATTACTAGCACATCCCTTTTGATGATGGGCTGACAAAGCACACTGTCTAAATTCTTTTGTTGTTTTTCTAATGCTCTTCTGAATAAAAAATAAACAAAACCTGAGTTCACAAACATTATACATAAAAAGTGCTCAATGCAAGAACTTCTTAAGGGTAGCTGAACCTGGAAGTTGACTGTTCTTTAGAGGTCCTGCTGTTCCAGTGCTTCCTGCCAATGTAGAATGTAAGAGTGCATCTGGTTCCAAAGCTAGGAATGACTTCTCATGGAACATTTTTTGAAACCAGGGCTGAACATGACCTCCTTGATTATGCCTTCACTTATCATATCTTCCTTCCTCCGTGGGATTGACCCAGTAGGATCCAGCTTTTCCCACAGAAAATCTGAGCCATGCTGGCAAGGACAAATACCAAAATGACATCCTGGTCTACAATCAACCTTAGTGATTATTAATCACTTTTCATGTATTACTTGGAGCAAATCAAAGGATTCAGGGTTCTCCAATTGCTTCACCTATTGTTGTTACAGTCCCTTATAAATCTTAAACATGGAAATATGTGAAATAAAAAACAGGCCAAAAATAACTAACATGGTTTCCTCACTGGTTTTTAAAAGCCAGAAAAAATACCATTGTAATCAGTAGGAGTATAATTTACATTGACACAAATAAGCTGTTTCTAAAATAAGTAATAAAATGGTTGAAAGATACCTTGGCTGATCCTGTCATTCCCAAACTTCTGATGAAGCATGGTTTTTTGGACTAGTTTTTCTGGAAGAAAAGTCTCTGTACAGAACTAGTTGACAAAGTGGATGCAAAGATCCAGGGATCCATTCTTCGACATGCTATGCATTTCAGCCTGAACAGTTTGTACATGAAAATATTCAATTGTTTTTAATTTGCCTTGCTTTGTGAATGACTTTTAAACTCTCCACTTCAGAGAAGAATTAAGGAAATGATTTTAGAACCATGTTTAGGTATGACACTGCCATCTGGCAATTTTCAACTTCTGATCTTGTTCTCACTCTAAATTTAAACCAATCATTTTGACTTCCTGATTTATGCTCACATTAGGCGAAAAAAATGTCTTAACACTATTATTTACTGAATGAACAATCTTTTCTTTACACATGATATTATGAAAATTTCCAAAAGAAGCAACAAAGACCTTATACTTATTTATATGGTTTTATATATCTATATGGTTTTCTACTGTTGGATGCACTTTCATCCACAGTCTTAAGTATTTGGTCTAATCTTAATCTCAGACCATTCTGCCAATCAGGTACTACTTTGCTGACAGTGATTAAATTTCACACCAAATTTACAACTGTGTAAAAAAAGTCTGGAGAATTTTGAAACAGAAGAGCAAGGAATTTTTTTTCTCTGTGAGTGTGATGTGTGGAAAACTGAGAGCAGATCACTGAATCATCAAGTAGTAGCAGCATCACGTAAATCATACCATGATAGCACTGAGATCATTCTCTTAACAAGTTACTGAAAGCTATTGGAAATGCTTCAATATCAAAAGAAAGGAGCTGTTGTACCAGTAATTCTCTTTTGGCTACCTTCAAATAAATTCACCGCAATGGGGATTTTACTGGAAACTGAAGAAGACAGTTGCTTAACCCAGCAATGGTTTGGAACATCTGGCTCTGCTCCAGCTAGCAGGGTTGGATGGAGGCAGGATGCTGGCCCTGATCTCCTCAAAGAAGCTGTATAAACAATAATTCAGTGTACATTTAATACAGTGTTTATATGTAACAGAGTTAGAAGAAGAAAAATAAAGACACAGATAAAAATTCTGGAAGAAGAACATTTTAATATAATCTCCAACAAAGCAGACAAATAAAAGGGAGACCTGTGGATTTTCCCATCTCTGACCAAATACTCGAACTCTCTCTTCTCAAACCAAGAGCAGATCTGACTTTTATCTTACCTTGTACATACTATGTTCTACATAAAGCTTACCAATTTATGTGGCAGCTGTGCTGACTTTTACAGGAAATTAAAATGCAGAAAAAGGTATAACATTAATATTTCTTCATTGATTGCATTAGTTGTTAATTTGATAAACATGTGTCTGTAGGTTTGAACATAGTAAATCACCATGTACTTCTGTATAATTATGAAGTTGACACAGAATTTAGTATCAACAACAGGTCCTTGAGAAAATGTGTTTTCTGCCAATATATTGCTTTATTTTTATGTGAACAACCCAAATCCTTCCAAATACATGACTATAAAATTATCAGCAGCATGGAAAATTATAGTCTATATCTGACAGCCTGTATATCTCAGAGAAATAGACTATATTTAGCATTGCATGTGTTTATTTTAGTTTGATGTGTAAAATAGGTTGTTGCATAACTGGATACTATGCAATAAAATAATGTTGTAAGTAGCGAACTTACATTGTATGTAAGATATAACTGCATTGAAATTTTCACATCTTATTTGTTTTTCAGAAGTATTTGCCCTGTTCTATTTCAAGCTGATCAAGTGTTAATGGTTTCTTCTGAAATGTATATATTCTGGGAGGGTGTATATTTTGCACAACTTTTAGTGTATTCAAATGAAAAAAAATCTATTGGGAAATTTTGAGGTCTAGAATTACTTTCTAATATAAATTTGTTTTCATATTACAAGGCAATCTCAGTATTCTAATCATCTGATATGGAAACTGTTATTCTTTGGGGGAAAAAACCTCAGATGAAATTTTACAGAATTTTATACCCCAGATAACTACTCTTACTGAACAGATATCTCTTGAGTCAAATACATGTAATTATTAAGGCCTTATGCAAATTGATGCAAACAAAACTATCAATAGCAATAAGACTTTCCCAGATTAAAGTTGTAGAAGAGCATTAATACATCAGATAATTTTAACATTTAGAAAAATACAATGAATTCTCTCTCAGGCAGATTCCTGATTAATTGTTTCAGTTTTGCTTAATCGTAATGCAAGGTGAAGATACTGAGTGCAATTACTCAAGTATCTATAGCCAGAGAAATGGCTTTTGCTGTCAAAGACAAATAATTTCTGTATTAATTTACCAATTAAACCTGTACCTCTAAAATACTCATAACTGTTTCTAAACAGAGGAGGAAGGGAAAGAATGAAGGTCTTTCACTGTTTCACAAAGGAAATAGGGGACTGCAACAAGAATTTCATTTGCTCCCCAAGCCTGAAAGGAGAAAAAGAATATGTTAGACTATATTTCAGTTTTAAAACAAAGTTCAGGAACACAAAACATGAGAAAGAAAAAAAATACTTTAATTAAAACTTTTAACACACAAAATAATTTCTCTGCTCTTCTACATTTTCATTTCTCTACCTCAAGACTGAACAAAGGCCAAAAAGCATGTTTGCAGAGTAGGCCTTTGTAAAAAGCTTTCCAATGTAGTTATTACAATGCTTTAACAATGCCAACAAGGCCCAGTGAATATACCTGCTTTAATTCCACTCTGTTTGGAAAGCAAATGGTAACAACCTACAATCCCTGAGGTAATCTTTACTGAGACCTCTCATTCCCACCCCTGTATTACTGTGACTAAGGATATTGAGCATTCCCATGCTTTCTGTTTATGAGACTTCTTTTCCATTCTGTTGGGTTCTGCACATACTTATATTTTTTTTATTTTTTTTTTAATCTTCTCAGCTAATGTAAAGTAAGACCTTCAGTTTGCTTCTAAGATACTAACAGTGCCCGGCAGGAAACAACATGAGGAGGCATAGGGTCAGCCAAAACAGAGTCTGCTAGGCCTATAAAATGTCAGCATCCTTACTGCTCTTTCCTTTATTGATCCTGACCCTTTCAGACTATGTGTGTAATAGTCATGCAGAGAGCAAATACATTTGCATGCAAATGCAGAAGTGATTATTGAACATCTCAGCTGAAGAGAGTTTGGGAAGAAGGCAACAGAGCATTGGACTGGTACTCAGCACACCTAGCTTCTGTGTGAAGGTGGCTGACTCAGCTTAATGGCTCTGGACAAATAATTTCTCTTTGGTTTATTTTGTGTATGTTTAAAATTTATTGAAGAAAAGTTATGTGTGAGACTGATAACACAAATTTTTCCCCTGAAGTTTTAGGTGAAATACATTCATTAATTTTTCTACTCTGTCTCTCCACTTAACTCTACTTTATATCTGATAGTTTTTCCTGTCCCCCAAAAGAAAACCCTCCAGTTCTCTTCTGCTTTGGATCCAGGCGTTATTGGAAACTCCATAATAACCAACAATGCACACACACACCAGCAATTACTGTGCCTCCTGTCTCCTTTTAGCCTAGAAACAATTCAAGTAAGAGTGAAATGATGTGCTCATGGGAAAAGGGAACACATAACACTATCACAAATATAGGAATAGTGGAGTTGCTAAGCCCATTTTCTTCTTCCAGTTAGAAAGGCTACCACTGCATCTCATAAATGTCCTCAGGTTTCACTGTGGTGCTGAAGCACAAAGTACTTCCTTAGTACTATTAATCTGTAGACTTTATCCTCCTTCATCTCGCTAAATTAGAATTTAAAAACTTTTTTTGGTCAATGGTTCCTGCTATCGTGCCTCCATCCTTTTAATCTGCAAAGTTTTCCCTTTCCTCACAAGCAGTCAAGGAAGAAAAGCCCTTTACCTGCTAGGTTTATCCCAAATCCTTCTAAGAACTTGTTGGCGAGCTGTCTTTTATGTATGACATACCAGGTCTTTACACATTTGTCATACCTACAAGGTCTCTTTACTTTTTTGTTTCCCTGCCTATGCTTTAGCAATTGTTTGAGTCATCTAGCCCTGCCATTGCCAGGATGATCAAATTCTACTCCATTCCTTTTCTTCTACGTAGGGCAGCTCATCTTGTCTATGAACTTTTACAAGTGTTGACTGTCCTTTGTTCTGTGAGAACACTTTTTATAAGTTGTGGTCTAATCATTGTCAATGTTGATAATGTTCCTTCTGAAACGGATGGATGATGCTAGGTAATAGCCTGTGGCTGAAAACAATCAGGATGGAAAGGGCATTTGAGACATTCTTTATATGCTACAATTTAGGAGATGATCATAGGACAAGATGTGCTCGTTAGTTACATTACTCTACTTCACATATTGAGTCGGATTTGGACCTGCTGAAGGCCTGAAATGTTTGTTGTAAGACACTTATCTCTAACCTTCTTCTGTTGAGCTGCCTATAAATTCAACTTAATTTCATTTGCAGAAGAAACCTGACAACAGCTTTTCTAAATAAAGACAAAAGGGATCCCAAAGCCTAAGTGTGTTAAGTGTTTGCTTTGGATGAGTGTAGGGAGGCTGTTTTTTCAGCCACTGTGTGTTTACCTGACAGTTTTCTGATAAGCAGTGTGATACCAAAGCCCCACTTTGTGACAGTGCTAACACCATCTGCCAGGTGCTGATAGCTTGTTGAATAATGCTTCCATCAGCACTAAAGTGCTGATGGAAAGTTATTGCTTCAGTAACCACTACCACTTTCATCTTCTGTCTAATTGGATGCTGCCACAAAAAATATTATTCAAAAAAGAAAAGAAAAGAAAAGCATGGGTCATTTTTCTTTACCATGATGAATTACTTTGAGACTACCTTGCAGTGCCACCATTGTGTATTTACTTTCTGCTTCCTGCCAATTTTACTTACCTACACTGTAGAGTGAATTTTATTACCAACACATAATTGTTCTCAGTACCTGGTTTGATGACAAATACCCACAGAAAGTTTCATTAGACCTTGATATAGTGAAATACTTGTTAAGGGCATACTCTGCTAGACACAGTGGGCCAGTCTGCCTCCTGAGGTAGGGTTCAGTGCAATCATTTGTGTAATCTTTATTTGGTGTTAGTCATTAAAACTAAACTTGTAGCAGAGGAAAAGTAAGACAGATATTTTAAAGAAAATCTACACAGAAAAGTTTGGAAGTATTTTAACCACAAGAAAACACATTCAAATGCATTTACTTAAGTGTAAAGAATTCAAATGAGCAGGCTGCGCAGCCACGCATGCCCCACAAAATTCACTGATGGTGGCTGAGGAAAACAGAGACCCTTCATAGTTTTATGCAGCAGCATTGAGCTACTAAAAAAAATACATGTGAAGAACCTCAAGTGTTTAGAATGGCTGAGGACATAATGTAATACAACTGAAGCCAGAATCGGTTCACACTTGCATCAGTTTAATGTGGACTCAAGCTATTTTGGCCTTTAAATCCTATACTGGAGATTTGGGTTTGGCTTCCTAATATTTTGGCAGGATTTACCCTTCTTTTGAAGGATGCTCTGTCTTGCTTTAATGAAAGCTAGGATGTCAGCATCAGTCTGGCTGTCTCCAGTCAGAGGAATAGATGAACTTGCAATTTGTGGGGTTCTGAAACAAGAAAATATAGTTATGGACTCAAGTGAGTAAAAAGGTTAATTTTCTATTCCACTATCTCCTCTTTTTTCACCATGAAGGACTTTGTTCTTCAGTTACATTGCTAGAGATGGCACAGCTTAGAGGAGAATCGAGCTCAGGACTTCTTAATGGTCTTACCTATGCTCCTAAGATTAGCCAGTATCTTTTTACTGTGATAGGGCTATGTGCTTATCAGCCATACAACCTCTCACAAAGGGTTAAAAAGATATTACTGCTGAGTCAAACTTACTGCCAAGCGGAAAAACCTAATGTAGTGAATTTACCAAGGAAATGATGGATGTGACTATGCCATGTGTTTGTTTGCTCCAGGCTGTTGTACATTTGAAGGGATCAATAGTATTTTTGCCTACTGTAAGAGAATGAAGTTTTCATACATGCACAGAAGTAAACAGTCACATGACATTCATGACATTTCCTGACAGACACAACCACTTTGTGCTGCTGAGTCTCGAGTCCCAGCTGAACTCTTGTATCTACAAAATTAAATCATTGACTGACTGCTGCATTTGATAGACCCTCTGCTGGTATAATATGATACAGTACAATGAGACTATTGATTAGCTGATTGTTAAGAAACCTATGAATTTGGGTCTGCATCTTTAACTGTGTTTAGAGATTAAGCACAATGGTGAGATGAGAAATATAGGGATAAAAATTACAGTATGGAAGGACAACTGGAACTGAAGGGAGAAACTTTTTTTATATATCCTACCTTTGTAATTATAGTTATTTCCAGAGTTCTTTACTGACTATTACAGTAGAAGGTACTTAGGACTGACATAAACAGCAGTCTGATATCCTTGGGACTCATTAAGTTCTCAGTTGCTCAATTAGTGAACCAAAATGTAAAAAAAGAATAGAAATGACTATGAACTAAAAAAAGTCCCCTATTCTTACGTAATTTACAAGGACTATTTTCTTACTGATTTTAATTTGATTTGCAACAACATAAAAACCCCTCCCACAATACATTTGAGAAGGCACTTTAAATTCCATTTTATCTCCTATTTTCTTTCCCTGATTTTCTTAAACCCAAATGCAATTTAAAACATTAGGTTTGGGGGGATGAAATTTTCCATGATTTTTTGCTGTTCTAGAAGTGGATTGTTTTGGAAAATGAAAGAAAAACCCCTTTGTGATTTGTTGTTACCAATGTAGTAGGAAAAATAGTAACTTAACCATATTTTCCTAAGGGCCTTAATAGCCAGAACTGTTGAGCACAATAAGAATATAACTTCTGGAAGTATAGTGACTTGGCATGATGCTTCAGTGGGAGAAAAGAATGTGGAAATGAACACACGAGAAAAAATAGAGAAGCTAAAAAAACCCCAGTAGTTTCTGTTAACCTGCTAAAGCAAATTTTCACAAAGCAGTGCCTCTTTTGAGAAAACATGACGTGTAACCTTTGCCAAGCCTGACCTGCCTGAGCTACTGTTGTCATTTTATTTTAATAGAATAATTTGTAGGAGGGAGATTAAAAATAATTCAAGGGCAGAATCACAAATACGAAAAAATCTCTGCGTAGTTCCTGCATTCTGCAGTACTTACTTACTCTGATCTCTCTTCTTTTCAAATGTTTCTATTTACTCTTTCAGAGTCCCTTTGTCTTGCTGAGAAGACACAGCCATGAGGCTTCATAATGGAAAAAAGCCTTAGGCCAAACAGCAAACCACCTCTTTAATGCAGATAATGCAGCTGATTGGTATGAAGCTATGTGGCACCCTTGTGGTGTTTTGGAAGTTGGAGGCCAATCTGCAGTTTCTATTTTAATTTTATTTTTCAAGGAGACTGTTGTTAAATAGACTGATAGAGGATTATCTAGGCATTGTATTTGTTAGTACTTTGGTTTTGCTTCTGAATAGCCCAGGTACACTTACCTTGTTCTTAAAGTAGGGCTACTAGAAGAGATTGAATTGTTTTCCCTAGCTGGATCTTCATTAAGGCTGATTCTTGTGGTCTCTGAAAAACTGTAATGGGAGCAGAAATGAAGGAAAGAATATAGCCCTTGTGTATGGAGTATTAATACATACACTAAGGAGCTACAAAGAAACAGTTCTTCAAGATTTTTAAATCTATATAAAGCACTTGTTTACTGGAAGAAGATTTTCAGTTTAATCCATGTAATGATTAGGTTTATGTAGAGAATGTGGCTATGAAAGAATGACAAATAAGCTCATAAAGATTATACTTTTAGTATTTGCCTTCTAAGCTGGGCTTGTAAAACACTTTGATGTATCTCATGCACAGTTTGAAATGGTATATTTAGTTCTCAGACTGACTATTAGCCAAGTGAGGCCTTAGCTCATTTTCCATTCTTTCTTTAGTCAGGCAAAATTATTACCCAAATCAGTGGGAGACTGGATAAAAACTCAGTGAGGACTTTGGGATGTGACTTGTTGATAATAGCCAA